AGTGTTGAAGTACATACAAGTGGGGGACACGTAAAATTTGCAACGAAGGAAAATCCCATCTGTCCCCTTCCTCCAATTTCTCTCCCTTCCCCTTCCCCTACTCCGTCAATCAATTTATTTTTCCCCAACCCTCCTGACCCCCTCAGTCAGCTGAGCATTGGAGGGGAGGGGAAAGTTGAAGCAGAAAGTGCACCTCCACACTTCCTGCTGCCTAGAGTTTCTTGCTGCCACCCCCACTTGGCTATCTGCTGATGAGGAGGATGGGATAGGCTGTCCTCTCCCCCCCCCCCCACCTATACGTGGCCTCATTATGATGATTTCTGATGCACATTCTCGGGGCATTATTCAGGATTAGATATATGATACAGGTATAATTTTTGTTGAACTCACCATAAACAAAAAGGTAACCTCTAACTCTAACCTAACTTCTTCCCAAATTCTCATAATCCCTTAAAAAAAAAAAAAAAAGCTCCATTTAATAGAATTTTGGAGCCAGTTAAGAAATTCACCCATCACCAATGAACAGTTAAGTGTACATATAAATAAACAATGACAAGAATGTCATGCACATTTCCTTTTATGTGATGCAATAAAACAGTCTGACGTGAAATTATAAACAAGCTCTGTACTTCCTTTGTGAATGGCCAAGCGATGCTAAAATAAACAATTGCTGAAAATACTAGGTGCCACAATGAAATGTCTAGGTGCCATGGCGACCTGGAGCTTGGGATTTGTTCAACTTTGGTCCAAACCATGGCTCCAGGAATGAAATGCTGTGAAGCTGAGCCACTGTACCTTATGCTTTTGCATTTTGAGTCTCAGCATTAAAACTACCTTAAATCATAGGACTGATCTCAAATTAGGGGAGGTAGAACTAGCTCCATAACAAATTGTCTTTAGATCTGTATATAAGGGCACCTAACTCCAGTCCTAGTGTCCCTACATATAGCTACAAGTATACTGAAGCTACAGGAGGAGAAACAAGCACAAGTATTATATAAATACAAATTAAGGAACTAACTTTAAAGAAGCAGTCACAAGCTAAGTAATGCAAGACCTTGCCCCAAGTCCTATTTACTTAGCCCTTCACCCCCTTCTTTATTAACACTTTCTGATACATCAAAGGGGTTCAAAGAAAGCCTGGGACTATAAGATTCTATCCCAGCATGCACAGCAGCAGCCAAATAACCTCTCCTACATTTTGTGTAAGGTAAAGGTAAAGGTTCCCTTGCTCGAAAGCCAGTCGAATCCGACTCTAGGGTTGCGGTGCTCATCTCTGTTTCAAAGCCGAAGAGTCAGCGCTGTCCGAAGACGTTTCCGTGGTCATGTGGCTGGCATGACTAAAAACCAAGGCGCACGGAACGCTGTTACCTTCCCACCGAAGTGGTACCTATTTATCTACTTGCAATGTCTTGCTTTTGAACTGCTAGGTTGGCAGGAGCTGGAACTAGAGACGGGAGCTCACTCCATCATGCGGCAACCCGGGTCTCGAACTGCTGAACTACTGACCTTCCACAGCCTGCAGTTCAGCGTCTTAACCACTTGAGCCACCGCAGCCCATTTTGTGTACATATACATTTATGTTTTCTTCCCTCTACATAGAATTTTTAGATAGCCTTTTGAGGAAAGTCCCATTGAAACTCACTTTCTATTACAAGCAAAAGGTAAGAGAGGGAGACACATCTATTCCTGCTAAAGGTCAGAAATTTAAATTGTTCATTCCAACGGCATAATTTCCTTTTTCTTTTCTCCTTTCAACCTGGGGTTGCCAGCTCCAGGTTGGGAAATACCCATAGATTTCGGAGGGTGGAGCCTGAGGAAGCTGGGGCCTGGGGAGGGGAGGGGCTTCAATGGGGGTATAAAGCCATAGAATCCACCTTTCAAAGCAGCCATTTGTTCCAGGTGGACTGATTTCTGATGCCTAGAGATCAGTTATAATCCCAGGAGATCTCCAGCTACTACCTGGAGGTTGGCAATCCTAGATCCAGCTATACTGGACAAAGAAGTAGGGATAGCACACTTGAACCCAAAGCTCCAAGTAACCCATGAAAATACAGAAAATCATGATAAAACCTGGACTCCCAATCTGAAGCATGACAGAGCTGAAGTTGGACTACTCAGTCACAATGCTAGCTCTGACGCCCCTCATTCTTATTTTATGGAGCAATGCAGCGGTAGCTTCTCTAGAGACGGTAATATCCAGGCAACCCGTTAAATGATGGGAGCTTTTTTCAAAAAGATGCCTAATGAGTCTTTAGAAGAAGATGTTGCATGTACCTGTGATTCACTGGCTTCTTAATATTAAGTTTGTTTTCCCTCAGGACAGACTCAAATAGGAATTATTCATTCCCTGAACAGACACCTGAGAATTCAATCAGACATGATTTAATGTGGCTGAAAAATGTTCTCTTGAGGCCAAAGCAGACGTGATGGCAGCAGACCCATTTGTTTAAGCCCTGTTCTACCACCACGATCATGTATAATGTGAAAGTCGGGTATTGACTGGTTGATTGCCCTGATCTGGATGGCTCAGGCTAGCCTGAGCTCATCTGATCTTGGAAGCTAAGAAGGGTCGGCCCTGGTTAGTATTTGGATGGGAGACCCTCCAAGGAAGTCCAGGGTTGCAACCCAGAGGCAGGCAATGGCAAACGGGCCTTGAAAGCCCTACAGGGTCACCCTAATTCGGCTGCGACTTGATGGCACTTTCCACCACGACCAGTGCCCTTTTTAGAGCAAAAGCAGTAGGCAGGTAAGGGTGCTAATTCCCTCCCCTTCCCACAGTTCACTTCCCCTGTCATCTGCTCCCCGCCGCAATGCTTTTTCTTCATCTGACCTCTAATACTAGAAGTGAACTCTACTGAATATAAGGAGCTTGAAGGGAGAACCTATGAGGAGGAAAGTGGGGAAGGTACAATGCTATTTTTACCTGCACATTCCTTTTCCTCTAAAAATCAGTCCAAAACTTTAAATTTATTAGGACAGACTAAGGTTTGAACAAATGGGTCCGCTGTAAAGTTTTTTCTACATGTGAAGTTTGATGCTCATTGGCTTGACTGAAGAATACCTAGACTCCAAAGTGCTTGAACGGACATTTATTCTATTTTTTCACTTCATTTACTTTCCCCCCAATGGGGACCCAAAGTGGCTTACATTATACTCCTCTCCTTACAACATGCCTGTGAGGTAGGCAAGGCTGACAGAAAGTAACTGGCCCATGGCCCTGCGAGCTTCCATGACAAAAGAGGGATTTGAATGTGAGTCTCTCATATCCCAGACCAATGCCCTAGCCACTACACCTCATTGCCTCTCAGTTCCTTTCTTCGAATGACTAGCAATGTAACAGCAACCACAGAAGGAGTAAAGGGCTAAATAGATGGCACAAATGTTTCAATTAACTCTGTAGGTGAAATGGATTGCAACCTTTAGTAGTTTGTAGGGGAAATGACAAAGTATTTCAATAAAGCTGCCATAAAAACATACAGCCAAACTGAGTGGACCTAGCTTGGATATGGTAGCTGCTACTTGTGGTGCTAGTGAGCCGCCAGTTCTACAAGCAAAAGATTGTAGATTGATGGCTCCACATGCAGATTTGCTGGGTATGCTGAGATTCAGTGCACACAGAGGTCTGTATCCACCCCAAGAGTGATTCAGTTCAGTGTTTTGGTTATAAAAAGGGTTCTCAGGAAAGCCATCACTCTCACTTTGGAGTCAAACAAAAGTGCTGCCTGTCGTTCACACACAATGCAGCCCTAAACAGAGTCACACAGAGTAAATCGGGCACCTCATTTCTGACAGTCCCCTCTATTCAGGAGGTGTGCTCAGTTATAGCCCCTATACTGCTTCTTTCCCTGAAAGGTGCAAAGCCAAATCATTTCTGCGAGCCTTCAGCAAAAATAACTGCTGAACATCTCTGGCACCTGGTAGCGACAATATGGAAGTTTTAAGTTGATTTATTTTGACTGATATGTTTAAGTGATGTTTTTTAATTGTGCGTGTTGATATTTTGCAAGCCGTCTTGGGCATAGGGGAAAGATGGGTTATAAATAATTTAAAATGATAAACAAACATCCTTCTACATCAACTGAAGTCCAACGGCTTAGAACGGAGAAACTCTGCTTAGAATTGTGCTGCAAAGCATTTTTATGGGAGTGGATTTCATGCTTTCTTCTGAAGTACAGCCTCTTATCAGAATGTAGTTTTATTTGGCTACTCGAAAAATCTGCCAGGCCCACCCAAAGCCATATGACGATGGTGGAAGAATTCCATACTCAATAATACTTCCTGTAATGCTGTGGATATGTTCATGGGACAGAGCACTGGGTGAAACAACACTATAGAAAGACCTGGGTTCTGATTCATCCTCTAGGGTGCTCAGTTAGTCTGGGAAGGGGGAGGTTCTGCACTGCACTCTAGCCCTCCTGTTCCTGCCATGTCCCTTCTCTCTGGGAGTCTCAGGAGCCAAACCTTCTCAGACTTAGGCACCCCCAAGGATTCCAGCGCAATCGAGCAAGTCTCCAGGCCTCTCACAACATCCACTACCCCAGCCGCCCACTATCCTGACACAAGGGGTAGGTTGGCTGCCCGCTTCCAGGAGCTGAGCTGAGCCTTCCAGCACTGAGCAACTGATCAGGATTGGCTTCCTCTCACTTTCTTCTCCATGACTGGTGGGACTTGGTAGGAGACGCCAGATACAACATGGCCCCCCTGACCATTCAGCACTGGCTACCACAAGGAAAGTGCAGAACCGCCTCCCAGGCCACCAACCAGCCATGGCAGCAGCAGACTTCACGATCAGCCCTGCAAGCTACGGTTGTACCATGGACCCACTGTCCAGTCCCCTCCTCCCTCGTGCAAAAAGTGCAGTATAGAAAACAGCACTGTAAAAGGTATTGCTGTGTGCAAGACAGACTGGAATGCTGTTCGCTCAGCCTCACTGATGCTGAGGTGAGAAGTCTGGAAAAAGAACCAGGTTAGTACAAGTGACTATGTCCATTACATACCTGCTTTTCAGTCATGGCATAGAGGTACTGGAGATCAGGGCTGAGCACCAAGTCCCGCAAAATGGAGCTGCCTTCATGGGCCACGACATTCTCATACTGCAATGCTGAACGTCCAATGGGATTGGCAGGATCTACCAGGATCTGATGGAAGAAGGGACACTGTGTTAGTATTTGGTCCTAAAATTGCTTGCAGGATCGTGATGGACATCATTTACTGCATGGCAAAAGAACAAGAGTGTGCCAGTTTCAGAACAGTAATGGCCCAGTTGAAAGAGAGCAAAGTAGCCCAGAAGCATCCCTAATCTCCAGTTCTTGTCCTGTCTGTCATCACTCTACACAAGGACTTCACTGCTTCCAGCGATGCACAAGCTATGATGACCTGATGTTGAAAAGAAGGAATGAAGACCTGAGAAAACATCCAAGAAAACTCATTCCAAAGGAATGTTTTGGCTGACACAGGGGCAAACCCAGAGAAAAATGTATAGTCTTGTATCCAGTAATTTTAGCTGATGGAAGTGATTTCTGACAGCAGTGGGACTTCTTTATCCTCCCACTGCAGCCCAAAATGCCCCCCAAAATGATGGTTCTAGAGGACAATGGACCCATAGGAACAACATGTTGGGGGAGATGGTAAGCTGCAGTGAGAAGGGGTAAAGCAACAGGATTTCGTGGAAATCTTCTACTAGATACAAGCCAGAGTACGGAAGGTTCATCCAAACAGAAACCCTCTCTTTATTTATTTTTATAACCTTTTATTTAACATATGAGAATTAAGCATCTACCACGTCTGGTGAGTCATCAAGGGCTCATCCAATTTCCTTACCAATCTGCCCTATTTGCCCTTCCTTTATATCCCTTAAAACAGCTTATGTGGAGTAACAGCTATGCCTTTGGGTTTAGAATAAAACTCTGCTACACACCTTAAAACAAATGTTAATGCTCTTCAATCAATTCTAAGGTATTTTAAAATGAATTGGGGTTCTGTTAGATCAAATGTTAATAGCTCCAGAGGAAATACAGATAGCTGGTAGCAGGTGGAGAGGAAGGGGTGTTTGATGTAAACTAGGTAAGTATTTCAGAAGGGAAGAAAGAACTGTGTTAAAATGCTTTAACTGGATTGATCCCTCCATTTGGTATTTCTATACTGACAGAGGGTAGATGGAAGAGAAGCAGCTGCTGAAGCTGTTGAACCTATGCAGGTACAGAAATATCACCAAGAGTGCTGACGGATAATTGCATGCACATATGCAAATATCCTGCCTCTTCCTTCTTGCTCAGTCCATTACAACCTACCTCTTCTGCCACCAGGATCACTCTAAGCAATCTTTCATTCATCTCAGCATCCGCCCTCTCCACATACTTGCAAGACATGGACCATCATGGCCCCATTAATCATCATCTTCTCATTCGACACAGGCCTTCCAGCAACCTGTGGCCTTCCAGCAATACTGTGGCTCTCATAACACTCCCCAGCGTGTCAAGGAGGTGGGGGTATCGAAAAGGCTACCGCCTAGGGCAGCTTCCTAGTCATCACTGCCATGATGCCCAACAATGCAAAGAGCCACATATTATACACTAGTGCAGACACACAGCATTGCTGCAGAAGGGGGTCACCACCACTTCTGGGATCAAAGTCCCAAGGGTTTTGTCACAGGGCTGCCCTTTATAAGGGCACATGCAGCTAGCAGTATATAACCAGCAGCCAGCCAGCGCTTTTGTTCTAGGCATAGCAGGGATATAGAAATTCCCTTAATCCCATTACTACTCACTGTGACCATAAAGCTTATAGGGAAGACAACGCTTTCACTGCAGAGGCCATAACCACATTAAAAGGTGTCACAGGGTCACAGCCAAGTAAGGAGAGTGGGGGAGGGAGAAGATGACATGCATCAGGATTAATTCTTTTAATTCAGTTGCCACCTGGCTGCTCAGCATGAGTCATCCCCAGCTAAGTAACTTACTTTCTTCAGTGCACCTGCTTTCTGCTTGTGGCACACCACAATCCGGCATAAGGTGAGCCGTAGGATACTAAGGGTTACCTGGCCTTGACTCATGGCAGGGAGCTGAACTCAGAGGCATTCTGATCTCTTCTAAGGCTATGACACATCCAGTTCAGATGACAATCTGCCAGCAGAACTAAACAATCAGGAGGCTGCAGCTCTCTGGGCTCTTTAAAGCTGCAGTCTAGATTGAGAAGCCAGAATGATCGGCCACTGCTTGTCTTTCACATATTTCTAGGAAGAACTGGTATATACATGCACATAACAGCAGCATAAAATGTTATTCCTAAAAAACAAAAATACAGGCTGACAACAAGCCATAAAAATGCTCCCCCATAAAAAGAAGGAACCTTTCAGTTAAAAACAACAACAACAGGAAATGTGTTGGTCCTCAGAGACTTTATGATAAGCTAGCTCCTACAAATCAGTAAGGTGAGCCTCAAGGGGGAAGGCATTCCAAAGGTGGGGCATCAACAGTGGGGAAAAACAGCCTCCAACCACAGATCCAGCAGCACATCTGTATTTGAACCTGTTCCTGTAATTCCCTCCAAGACAGACTGAATCCTCATGTGGTTTTGTCACTGACCAAAAGCACCTCAGTCTTGTCTGGATTGAGCTGCAGTTTATTGGCCCTCATACAAATAATTGACTTATCTAGGCATTTATTCAGGACTTCCAGAGACCCACACAGCTGCTGGGAGAAATACTAGATGACACTTGGATGATCTCTGTAGACGTTAAACAGCATCGGTGACAAAATGGACCCCTGTGGGATCCTACAGCATAAATGCTACACAGCCAAACAATGCTCCCCCCCCAGAACCACTTTCTGGATCAAGTACAAGCAGAACCTCCAAAGCACAATGACCCCCCCCCACACACACACACACTGTCAACACAGCCTCTCCAGAAGGATAACATATTAAGTGGTACTGAAAGCAACCAAGAAGTTCAGAAGAAACAACAGTGGCACACTCTGCCTGTCAGTCTCCTGTGGAAAACCAGCATCCAGGGTGACCAAGGCCATTTCTGTTGGAAACCCTGGCCTGAATCTAGATTGAAATGGGTCTAGATCATGCATCTCCTTGTACATTGCCTGAAGATGAATTTCCACCACTTGTTTCAGCACCTTTCCAAGAATGGAGTGTTGGCCACTGAGAGGTGTCACAGGGTCATCCACCTTTCTGGTAATCATACAAATGTGACAACTGAGCATAAAAGGGGAAATTATTTTCTCTGCCTTTGTGACCCAAAATCTCACTCCCAAATAGACCTAGAATTGTCTACAGAAACCAGATCCACCTAGAATTCTGAAATGCAACCTGAAAACCAGCAGCTCTTTTGCCCCACATGTCCCTGTGAAGTTTTATGAACAGGAGCACTTTCCACCCTGCACCTCCAAAGTTCCCACAGAAAATAATTGCTCCTTCTCCAGCTCCAGGTGCTTACATAGCCCTGGTGTTCTTATTATCCATGCACTCTTATTTCTTACAGCATCCCAATTTGGAAACATTTTACTGATTAGGAAGTGAGCGCATAGAGGGCTCTGGCCTGCTAGTCTTCTACTCCCCTACTGATTTCTGCAGCATTATGAAAATCTGAGAACAGTGACCAGTCATAAAAAAATATACATCTGACTCGATTATTACTTAACAGGCATTAAGTAACACATTTTGGTGCCCTGAATTCCTCAGTAACAGTTGGATCATTGGAACATCTCTCCAGACCTCCACCTAATCCTCCCCCCTACTCTAGCCCCCAAATAAAACCCCACAGAGCATGTTATAGTTTCATTTCCCTCGTTGCAATAAATAGACTCCATCCACCCATTTGCATACTTTCCAATCAGGCAAAGGAAGCAGGGCTTAGAAGGCAGGATCCTGGCGTGCAGCTGATTAACATGGAAATATATGCGGCTCACAAACAAACCGGGGCCCGTCTAATTAGAGTGGCGCCTTTGATTCACCGCCAACATCCAGCACGCACCAGCCCTGGATTATTTTTAGTCAGTTTTACAAAACAAATGTATTTGATTAGGAGAGACACCCCTGAGCTAAGAAAGACTGATAGACAGAGGCAGAGACATGGAAAGGCTGCTCCCCTACAGGGAATGGGGCTTGGGCCTGTGGTGAAGGTGTCCAGGAATGCAGGTGTGATTGTGAGGTAGCCTCACACAGCCTGACAGCTGCACAGAACAGAGGGAAGTCCTGGAATGTGTGTCTGCAGCTGCCGGTTCCTCTTGCAAACATTACAATGCTGTCCCTAATTACTATGCTGAAACCTCCTTTATTCCACTGATGGCCATGACCCTCAGATGACCAAAACCAGCACACCAATACGTTCCTGGCTTTCAGTACTGCCTAACCTGCCAATCAATCCACCTGTTCTTCCTTGCCTCAATTTACTATGCCAATCCACAGTGTTGAGCAACCCTCATAAACATGTGAAGCAGCTTCCCCTATTTTTTCACCATACATACTCCACAAACACACTGCAGAGGGGTCACAATTTGCCCTGACCCCATGCGACATGTCTCCCAAGGTGTGAATTCAGTGTATGGGACAGAATAGAAGCAGGTATATGCAACATTTTTTTATATGTGTGTGTGCATGTGATTGTGTATGCACCTGGAAGTCATGACAACCTCTGGTGACTTACCCCTACTGGGCCTGGAGGATATTCAGAGAATTCTTGGAGAACAGGTGAGGTGCCGTAAGACTGGAGATGGGCAAATGTTGTCCCCATCTTCAAGAAGGGGGAAAAGGAGGATCCGGGTAACTACCAACCCGTCAGCTTGACGTCTATACCTGGGAAAAGTTTTAGAACAAATCTTCAAACAGACAGTCCTTGAGCATTTAGAAAGGACGGCTGTGATTACTAAGAGCCAGCACGGGTTTCTCAAGAACAAGTCATGTCAGACTAACCTTATCTCTTTTTTGAAAAAGTTACTACCTTGCTGGATCAGTGGAATGCTGTTGACTATCTTGATTTCAGTAAGGCTTTTGATAAGGTTACACATAATATTCTTGTTGACAAATTGGAAAAATGTGGTTTGGATCCTATGACTGTTAGGTGGATCTGTAAATGGTTGACAGATCGCACCCAAAGAGTGCTTGTGAATGGTTCCTCATCTTCTTGGAA